GCCAAGAAGAAAAGCCAAAGCCAAGAAAGACAAACATCTCAGGAAGGAACTTAACAAAGAGTTTCAAGAGAGCTGTTAGAAGAGACAAGAAGCAGTATTACAACAACATCTGTAAAAACACTGAAATTGGAAACAAGAAAAGTCTTCAAAAGATCTCTGGACTCAGAGGGAGATTCTAACCTTAAATGTGTATGGACAGCCAGTAACCAATTCAAAAGTCATCAGAGATGGAAGGAGTATACTGAACTACTGTGCTGTAGAGATGAACATCTAAGATACCTTAGAAGATATACCCTTGAAGTTAGATCAGCACTCTGGCCATTACTAAGTTGGAAGGCTTACAGATATATGGCAAGCAACAGAAGAAGAATCAGCCAAGGCTCTAACCAAGGTTTGCCAGCACATCTGGAGAACAACACAGAGAGAGAGAGAGAGAGAGAGAGACTTAAATAGAGTGTGCAAACGATTGTACAATATCCTTAATTTCACATGCTAGCAAAATAATGCTTAGGATGATCCAATGCAGATTAGAGCCCCACATGGAAAAAGAGATGATGGATGCTCAAGCTGGCTTTAGAAAAGGCTGAGGAACACAAGACATTATTTCTGTGCATGCTGGATAATTGAGAAAGCCAAAGAATACCCCCCCCCCCAAAAACCCACAATGGGCTTCATTGATTATAATAAATAATTACAATAACAATTTATTAAATTTATATGCTGCCCAACTCCCAGGGACACTCCTTTTTTGGTATTGGAATGTAGATTATAGAAAGGCTTTGATTGTATTGATCATGTCAAGCTGTGAAATGTGCTTTGAAGAATGGGAATCCTAGAACCCATAATTGTCCTCATGAGAAACCTAGATACAGGTCAGGAAGCCATAATATGAACAGAACATGGTAAAACAGACTGTTTCCAAGTTGGCAAAGGAGTGAGACAATACTGTATACTCTCCCCTTATTTATTTAACCTATATGCTGAATATATATATTAAAGGAAGCTAGATTGGAAGATTTGCATGGTTTTAACATCTGAAGAAGAAACATAGTGGCAGTTGTGCAGAGTGTGGTTTTAAAATTCAGAGAAGAAACATCAATAACCTGCTCTATACTGATGATGCTAATCTGATAGCCAAAAATTCAAAGGATCTGCAAGCTTTAGTAATAAAAATCAAGGAGCACAGTGAAAAGATGAGACTAAAATTAAATATAAAAAAGACCAAACAGTACTGGCTGGGTACAATACCCAGCCTTAGATCTGACAATGAAAATATTGAAATGGTAGATAGCTTCTGCATTTTAGGATCAACCATTAACAGTAAAGGAACAAGCAGTCAAGAAATACGCCGCAGACTAGCACTTGGTAGAGCAGCCATGAAGGCCTTGGAAAAGATTTTCAAATGCCATGATGCGTCTATGCCTACAGAGATCAGAATAGTGCAAGCCATGGTATTGTCTGTGATACTGTATGGAAGCAAAAGTTGGATTTTGAAGAAGCAGGACAGGAAGAGCATTGATGCTTTTGAACTTGGTGTTGGAGAAGTCTCCTGAAAATACCGCAGACAGCCAAGAAAATAAACCAATGCATCACGGAACAAATCAACCAGAGTTCTCACTCCAGGCACAAATGATCAGGCTCAGATTATTCTACTTTGGATACATTATGCAAAGACCCAGCTCTTCTCTGAAGAAGGTCTAATGCTGGGAAAGGAGGAAGGAAAGAGAAGAGGACGACCAGCAGCAAGATGGATAGGCTCAGTTACAGTGGCAATGGGGGCATTGTTGGAAGAGCTGAAGGACCAGGTTAGGGACAGATCACCATGGAGAAAATCTATCTAAGAGCTGAAGGACCAGGTTAGGGACAGATCACCATGGAGAAAATCTATCTAAGAGCTGAAGGACCAGGTTAGGGACAGATCACCATGGAGAAAATCTATCTATGTGGTCACTAAGAGTTGACACCGTCTTGATGGCACAGTATCAGTTGTGGTTCAGCATATTGTGGGAATCCAGTCATTGTCTTAACACGATCCCATTAAGCAACAATACAGTTTATTTGCTTGGATATAGCATGTTATGCAAGCACAGCAATTATGTTTTGTTAGCTGTTGTGCTTGAACCAAAGTGGGTGTGTCTCTTTAACGGTTTGTATTAATTCTGATAAACTACACAATTCTTAGATTTCATCTGCTTGCAACAATGGGCGCCTATTGCCTCCATCCTGCTGTTGAAAATGGCAGGTCCTGTACATTTTTTCTTCAATGTCCGGTTACTATTTTGGGCTCCCGCCCACTGGCTGGGGCACACGGGCAGCTGAGTTGGTAAAGCGGCACGAAAGGCCGATCCCGACGACCCGAGCTGATCCGCTTCTCCCCACTTCCCCCTTCCCATTCACCTCTGAAGGAAGGAGGCCCCGTGCTGCTTGGCCCCAATAGGATGGCAAACATCCGCCGCCGATTGCCCGACCTTTGGGCAAACACTGGCCAGGCCCGCCGCGAAGCGAGGAAGCGGTGATGACTGGCAGGCGGGGAGGCCATGCAGAGGCTCAAGAGCGGGATTGGGAGCGCGAGCGAGCCCTCTCAGTGCCCGCTGGCCTGGGCGTGCGTAAACAGCCGGGGCGAGAAAGAGCGCACGCTCGTGACGGGCGGCTTGAACTTCACTTCTGTGCAGGAGAGACGGGGCTCTACCAAGCAGCCTTTCTCCTTACCCTCGGATGATAAAGCGGCTGCAGAAAGTCGGTGCAGTCTGGCACCCCCTACCCACCCCCGCAAAACGAGAGGCAAAAGAGGAGCCCTGTTCTTTCATCCCTGAGCTTTGCGGAAACGAACCGGAGCCATTCACTAACTGATGAACTTGGCGACAGCCTACTCCTCTCTTGCTGCGACCTGGCGAGCAGAAGGGCTCCGTGGGGGCTCGTTAGGGTCTCCTCAGCGCTGGGTTGCCAAAATGATGTTTGTGCGTGGAGGTCGTAATTTCGATGCAGGTCCTCTGGAACTTTGGCCTGTGCAGGTACCATGGTTTAATTTGCAATGAGGCCCTGTTCTATTAGCAGGTCAGATCCTGGCTTTCCCTTATCAACCCCAAATATCACAGTGTTTCTCAACCGCAACGACTTCAAGATGTGTGGACTTCAAGTCCCAGAATTCCCTAGCCTGTATGACTGCACACCTTGAAGCTGTTGAGGTTGAGAAATACTATCTATCAGAATAACACTGATTACTGTGTTGTTAGCAGGATAGTGACTTCCACACAGTAACAGTACAGTAAATTAATTAGTTCTAAGCCAGTTTTGAATCTGTTGCACTAGATAAATAGGGGTGCAAATGTCATAAGGAGCATAAGTGTTTTTAGGAACAGCAATACCCAAGACTTTACTGAAGCTCAAAGTGAAAACGTGTTTGTTCATTAAATTTGTATGCCACCCATCTCCCCCAACCCGTGACTCTGGGCAGCTCACAATTAAAAGTAAAACCCACAAACAATTAAAAAAATAAATGCCCACATTAATTAATTAAAATTAATTAAAAAGTCAAGCTATAAAAACAAACCCTGTTCATTTGATTTATGTATCACTTTTTGTACAGAAGCTCACTACAGCATACATAGTGTTCCCTCCTATTTTCCTCTCATAATCACCAGCTGACCAGTAGATTGGCCTGAATGAAAGTAAGTGACCCAAAATCATTCAGTGAGCTTCCATGGCTGATGGGAGACTAGAATTTGGGCCTCCCTACTCCTAGTCCAACACCTTAACCACTACACCATAAATGTATTCCATGTGATTGCTTACTTTGTAAGAACTGATCCCAGCTGTATTGGACCAAGCATACTATTTTTCATCATAGCCATTTTGATTCCTTGTTGTTGTTATTCAGTCGTTAAGTCGTGTCCGACTCTTCGTGACCCCATGAACCATATCGTGCCAGGCCTTCCTGTCC